CGCCTGCTTGTGTGGGTGGGTCGTCTTCCCACGTGCCTGGCTGTTTCTGTGGCAGACACTCACTTCCCCGCGGGTGCCGGTGCTTTGCCGCCCTGCCCCTCGGGAGTCAGTGCCAGACGTGGCCGAGTTACTCGGGACCCATCTGACCCTTTCTGGTCTTATTTCTACTTTGTTAGGTGAGACGTGATAGCACTCAGCTTGGGCTAGCCCTGTTCTGTCACTGGACTAGAGCCCCCCTGAGCATGCTGCCTGGTGCCCTGTGAGTTACAGTCCGTCCCTCTCTGGCTGTGGGAAGCAGGCACGACCCCTGGCTTTCCGTAGGCTCTAGATGTTTCTGCTAATCCTTTTTTTCTTTTTTAAAGAATTACTAATTTTTTTTTTTTAAGAGATTTTTTGCTATAGTGCATGTGTGCTTGCCAGAGAGACAGAAAGTGAGAAATCACCCTCCAGGGGAATGGCCACACCACAGTTCCTTCTCCATTCTCCTCTTGGGATTTCGGGCATGCAGACAGCATGAGTTTTTTGTTTGTTTTTTTGGAGAGGTTTTCGCTATAGGGCGCGTGCGCTCGCCAGACAGAGAGACATAGAGACAGAAAGCGAGAAATCACCCCCCCGGGGGGATGGTCATGCCACAATCCCTTCTCCATTCTCCTTTTGGTATCTTGGGCACGCACGCACACGCGCCCAGTGTGAGTTTTAAGCCACTGGGTCCGGGACGCGAACCACAGTCGACTACGTGGGAGTCCAGCAACATAGCCATTACGCTAACTGCTGGTTCCCCAGACAGCATGAGTTTTAAGCCACCGGGTCTGGGACTCGAACCATGGCTGACCACATGGGAGTCCAGCGCAACTATTATGCCATCTGCTGGTCTCACATTAATTTAATTTTATTTATTATTATTATTATTTAAATTTGCTACAGGGCGTGTCTACTGACCAGAGAGAGAAAGTGAGAAAAGAAGCTGCCAGGTCTGGGACTCAAACTGTGGTTGGCCATGGGGAGTCTAGGACCTTAACTACTAAGGTGCTTGCTGGCCCCACCTGCTAACCCTCTCAGGTGGTCCTTTTCCAGCCTCCCACACACGGCACCTGGCACCTGTGTTAGTTTCCTTTTTTTTTTTTTTTTGAGAGATTTTTGCTATAGGGCATGTGCGCTCGCCAGACAGACATAGAGACAGAAAGTGAGAAATCACCCCCCCCAGGGGGATGGTCACGCCGCAATATGGTCACGCCGCAATCCCTTCTCCTCCATTCTCCTCTCGGGATCTTGGGCACGCACGCACACGCGCCCGAGTTTTCTTTTTTTTTTGAGAGTTTTTTTTTTTTGCTATAGGGCACGTGTGCTCACCAGAAAGAGAGAAGAGAAAGAGGCAGAAAGCGAGAAATCACCCCCAGGGGCGATGGCCACGTCGCAATCCCTTCTCCTCCATTCTCTCGGGATCTCTGACATGCACGCACACGTGCCTGGTGTGAGTTTAAGCCACCGGGTCCAGGACTCGAACCGTGGTTAACTACATGCGAGTCCAGTGACACAGCCATCATGCCAACTGCTGGTCCCGACACCTGTGTTAGTTTTATAATACTGTCACAAATTACTGGGAATTTAGTGTCTTGAACAACACAAACTTACTATCTGGAAGGTTTTGTTTGTTTTTTAAGAGATTTTTGCTATAGGGCACATGTGCTTGCAGAAGAGATAGAGAAAACGAGAAATCACCCCCAGGGAGATGGCCATGCCGCAATCCCGTCTCCATTCTGCTCTTGGGATCTTGGGCACATTGGCTGGTGTGAATTTCAACCTGTTGGGTCTGGTACTCAAACCACGGTTGGCTCTGTGGCTGTCCAGCACCTTAACCCTTAACCACTACACCATCTGCTGCCCCCATCTTGAAATTTTTTTTTTTTTGAGAGAGATTTTTTTTTTTTTTTGAGAGAGGTTTTTGCTACAGGGCGCGTGCGCTCGCCAGACAGACAGAGAGAGACAGAGAGACAGAAAGCGAGAAATCACCCCCGGGGGGATGGCCATGCCACAATCCCTTCTCCATTCTCCTCTCGGGATCTTGGGCACACACGCACACGCGCCCGGCGTGAGTTTAAGCCACTGGGTCTGGGACTTGAACTGCGGTCGACTATGTGGGAGTCCAGCGACATAGCCATTACGCTAACTGCTGGTCCCGAGAGAGATTTTTTGTTACAGGGCACACATGCTTGCCAAAGAGACAGAAAGCGAGATATCACCCCTGACGGGATGGCCATGCCACAGTCCCTTCTCCCTTCTCTCTGGATCTTGGGTAGGCACACATGCACTCGTGATTTGCATAAATTTTTTAAGTCACCGGGTCTGGGACTCAAACCACGGTCAACTACGTGGGAGTCCAGTGACATAACCATTATGCCATCTGCTGGTCCCTGTCTTGAGGTTCTTGAGGACTGATTCTGGTGATTGTGGGGATCGGTGTCTTGCTCTTCCAGGCTGTAGGCAGAACTGGCCGCCTCACACCTGTGGGGCTGAAGGCCTCGGCACCAGCAGCTTCTCAGGCCACCATGTTCTGAACATCATGCCTCTTTCCTCCACATCAGCTCCTGAGCTGCCCTGGGCCGGGGCGTGCTGTCCAGGCTGCACGCTGTCCTGGCCACGAGCTAGGTGCCACAGGCTCGTGCGTTTCCAGCTCTCGGGGCTCACGCCCTCTTCTCTAACACCCTTGTCTCGAGACTGCAGTTCCGTGCTTTGTCCAGGTCTTGGGCATTCTGTCAGTAGGGCAGGCTGGTGACCGTTAGACTCACCTGGGTGGGGGCTGCCGGTGTCTCATGCTTCCTGACTTCTGGCTGGTCAGGGCTGCCCCTCCCGTGGGGTGCTGCCACGCAGTGGAGCCCACTGGTGTTCTTTGTCTTCCTGGACAGTGAGAAGGACAGCTGCCCAGGAAGACAGGCCCCTCACAGGGCTGGGCCTCGGTCCTTCACTCTGAGGACTTAGCCCTGCCTGACTGCCCCCCTCCCGCCACGCCGCCCTCCCCGCCTACTCGGACTCCAGCTGCCTGCTGTGTCTGTGTGCAGCTCACACTCACTGCCCGCCCTCCCCGTGTGTCCCAGGAGGGTGGGGGAGGCTGGCCAGCACCTGTCTCCGAGCCCATGCTGTCTGCTCCGTCTGCTGGGACTCTGGGACCCTGGTCTGTTCCCATGGCCCGTCTGCTTTCTAGTGCGCTTGTGGGTTTGCTCTTGGAGAACCTGCATCTCCATCACTTCAGTGGGCGGCACCAGGCGGTGGGCACTTGGGGCCAGCCTGCCACCTCTCACTCAGCCTCTCCCGAGATTCACCCAGCTCCCCCCCGCTGCAGCCCCGCAAGACGTCCTGCTGGCGAGGGCCATGCTGTGGCCTCTGTTTTCCCTGGAAATGTGAGGGGGCAGTGGCAGGTGGAGGTGGCCAAGAGGATGGAGGGGCGAGCACTGGGATGAAGCTGCTGCCTGGCGAGGGTGGGCCTTGGAGGGTGTGATGTGGCAAGGGTCTGGCCACAGAGCGAGGTGGGGGCGCCTTAGCAGGGGGCGTGGCCAGAC